CCTTTCCGTATAGCACTGAGTATACATCCAAAATATCTGCGAGTTTCTCTAATGAGATCTGAACGTCTCACTGGTAAAGGCTGCACTAACAAACAGTCCGAAGTAATAATAGATCTATCTTGTAGTGACTGTCGAGAAATGTAGTCAACATGTTGAATTTGTTTGGCACTTCTGTGCTGAACCGTATAGTCATATGCACTCAAAGCAATACTCCATCGTTGAACCAAAGCAGCTGAGGAACGTGCTAAGGATTTTTCAGGATGATAAATAAACTTTAAAGCTTCATGATCAGTAACAATAGTGAATTTCTTTCCAAATAAATATTTATGAAGTCTTTTAACAGCCCAAAACACAGCTAATGCTTCTCGCTGAGTCTGTGAATAACCTTGTTCAGTAACAGTAAGTTTGCGTGAAACACAAATAACTGGTCTACCTTCCTGTTCCAAAACTGCGCCAATACCCACAAGTTATGCATCAGTAACAAGCACAGAATGTACACTAGGAGAGTACGTTCGAAGAACAGCATCACTTTGAAGAAACTTCAGTAGATTACGTAAGCATGACTCTTGTTCCTCACTCCATTTGAATGAATTGGATGTCAAAATATTAAACAAACAATTTGCACGACAAGAAAAATCAGGAACAAAACGTGAATAGTACTGAAGAGCACCCACTAGGGAACGTCGTTCCGTAAGATTCTTTGGAGACGGTGCATTTGTCAGTGGAGCTAGTAGTTTCATGTCTGGTCTAAAACCATTACCACCAACTAGGTATCCAAGGCATTCAAAACTAAATACACAAAATGAACAGTTATTTGGATTCACTGTAATATTCTTCTCAACTAAACGACGTACTAAAGCAATAAGTCTCTGGTCATGAACTACCTTATTAGAACCATGAACAATGAGATCAACTTGATAAACTTCAACACCTTCAAGATCACTAACTACTTTATTCATAACTTCCTGAAATATGGCTGGAGAACAACTTAGACCAAATGGAAGAAAACTGTATTTGAACAGACCAAACGGAGTGTTAATTGTCGTCAAAATAGATGAAGATTGATCTAAAGGAATTTGAAGATAAGCATCTTTCAGGTCAACTTTCGAGAACACTTTAGAACCATGAATTCGATTTGGAATATCTTCAGCCTCTACCGTCGTGCACGTTTGCTTCAACAAACGGGAGTTCAGAGTTAATCTATAGTCACCACAAATCCTAGGGGTCTTGCCATCCGACTTCAGTGGCGTAACGACTGGAGTATCACATGTTGAAGACTGAATTGGTTCAATTATGCCTTTCGCACACAAATCGTTTAATGTCTTATGTACTGCTTCTCGAAGACCATAAGGAATTATTCGTCTTTTAAAAAAGACTGGATCATCCTGTACGTGAAGCTTTATAGGCTTAATTTTCATACCTCCACTGCACTTAGCATACATAGCTATCAAATATTTAAGTAAAATATCCGAACTTTCTTTAGAAACTAGGAAGGACAACTTCACCTTAAGCCTTTTGAAATTCTTTAAACCCAAAATTGACAGTCCTGTTTCGCTAACTAAAAATTCACAAGGTAGGTATGAAGAATTATCATCTCTTTTTAGCAATTCACAACATCCTCGTATGGGCAGTCTGTGTCCAGTAATCCCCAATATTGATACTTCAGTGGGTCGTACCACAACGTTTGGATCTAAGGATTTCAAGTTCTTGAATGAAATAATGGACTCTGTACTGCCTGTGTCCAGAATAAAGTCATGAAATGAACCAAGCGATGTATATAGTCGTTTTTGAATATGAGCATTACCTTTCGAAATAGTAGACAAAGATAAATGATCACTAGAAACATCCGAATTATTGAGATTTAAATGACAAGATTTAGTACTACTTGAAGCAAAATGGACAGTAGCTTTGCATACTGACTGAATGTGTCCTATCTTACCACATTTAAAACATTTAGCATTACGAAATGCACATGAATTACGAGAATAAAACTTTCCACATGATAAACATTTACCAAACTCCATCTCACCTTTGTGATTTGCTTTGTAATTCCTTGTTGAAACACCTTTCATATTTACACGAGAAAAGGAATCACTGTTAAATGAACGCAAGTTTGATCGACCCTGAGATTGTAGTTCATCACGACGACTAAGCAAAGTATTAGAAATCTTCATCGACTGGATATCAAGTTCACTAACTGCTTCGTAGTTAGTACACGCAGTTCTAGCATCTTGAAAGGAACAGTTTGGAATTTTTAACAGCTCTCTTTCCAAACTCGGTATGTTAATTCCTGCAATTAATCGTTCTCTCAGTTGTACATGAAGTTGGTCACCGAAATTACACTTTACAGCTTGTTTCTGCAATTCAAGGATGAATTCCCGAACTTTTGGGTCATTTTGACGAACCATCTTATGAAATTTCGCCCTTTCACGGCATTCAAAACTGGTGCACTTTACATGATTTAATAATAGCTCCTTAAGAGTTGTATAAGGAAGTGAGATAGGTTTTTCTGGATATGCCAGAGTTTTTAATAAGATGTACGCTTCTCTTCCAACGAATGTCAGGAAATGTGCCACAATTTTATCACCTTTAACATCTTTCTTAGTCATGCTCCAGATTTCAAACCTATCCGAATAATCCTCAAAAGCTTCGGAAGTTGAATGGATATCTAACGTTTCCATCGCGACGCCAGTATAATGTTCGAATTATTTGAATTGTAGTATGAACTAGGAATCCCAGAATTAACGCTATTGAATCAAGAACTCCGGCACAAGCACAAACGAATGTATTGTATTTAGAATTCGAAATCGAGCATTCAACAAGCATAATATTATCAATAGTTCGTTCAAACACCACAGAAACCTTAGTTTACCAGAAGTCGTAAAGGGATAGAGCAAAACTATTATGGTTGTGGTAGGCTTTTACTACACACTCATATATCAGGACAGTTGGAGCGTGAGGGCCTTGTTTGGAGACACAGGCTTTTCAACGTTAAAAACCCTATAACATGAAACGTAATGCTTACACAAACCAATGAAGTGAAAACACACTTGACATTATTGTTCTAATCTTAAGAGGATGTTCTTGGCTAATTTGTAACCACTCAATTTAGGCTGTTACGGATTCATTCATTTTGTTGGTTATAAGGAAGCAGTGACGCCGCAAAATCAGAAATTAGTAATACGGTCGTTCTCTAAAAATATGTACTCGAAATAAAAGCAAAGGAGAGGGAGGTTGTGAATAGAAGAAACATTATATTCTACTGCAAGTACAAGGAAGCCGAGTTGCGATATGGTTTGAAAGCTTAACCGAGCTCGTTCAGTTAGCAGTGTCCGTTGAAACAGATTAGCTTTGCATCGTCACCACGTATCTACAGGGCGGGTTTATTTTTTGGGAGGAGGTTAGTAGCCTTATCAGCTTCAACGCTAAAGAGGATTTCCGCAGTGTCGAGAAATCTAAGACTTGTTACGTACTACAGTTTTCTATTTATTGTGAAAATTGTTTCAAGTAACAGAATTACAGTCTAGACAGGGCTTTGGAGCATTTAAATGCATGAGCCAGTAGTCGCGGAATCATTTAATTAAATTGAAAACTGATAAGCCTTACCGATTTGCAAAAACTGTTGTTAAAATAGGCGTAGTTAGTTATTTTGTTCGGATGTGTTACTGTCATTACACGTTCATCACCTTACCTATGTTAGGAAATGTGGTTCTTGAAAAATATCCAGTCACGTCTCCAGGAATGGAGTCGTGAAACTTAAACTTTATCTTCATGCTGTCATTCGGACTGCTAGCTATTCAATTTTTGGAAATAGCACTTCTGATGGCCTTAGTAAGTGAAGTAGGAGAATAATTCTTCTTGTTGTTGCAACAACGACAGCAGAGAATGGTTTTGTTTGGCCGAATTTTTTATGAGATAATGCTGGATGGCAGGTGAGTATGGAACGCAACATCATGGCGTATTCATTGACTTTAACGAAGGTTTAAGTGAGTTATTTAACGTTGGTTTCATGTGAACATTCATTAGCTTTGGTTTTGCATGCTTTCTGAAGCTCACACTAATGCGTTAACTCTGACGGGGAATGAAATGTAAGTAAAAGCAGAAATCCCTAAACATAAGTTCTTAGAAAGCGTTATCCTACAGGGGATGAATCTTGGGCGATAAGAACATTCATGTATTCCCCATCGCTGACAGGAATCCTCCTAAATGCGTTGCTAGAGTTGTGTTCGGGATATTATGGTCAACGTATGCGAAATTTATTTTGAGTAACGCTCTCAGAATGTCAGTGTTTTAAAATAGATTTTCGACAGAGAGAACGACAGATTTCAGAAGCCGAATAATGAGTCTTTAAGATGTTTCTCCTGAATTGTGTATTCCTATGAAAATTAGGGTAAAGGATGGAGAGCTAACCTGTTCGGCTTGGCTGGAAGCATGTACGAGAAGTCCAATTAGTATACCTTGATATTCAGTAGCTGAAGTCATTGATTGAATACCTTAAGCTAATTTAGTTAATCAAACAAATGGAAACCACACAAAGTGTTGGTTACCCGATGAACCATGTTTCCTGAAGAACCTTAGACTGACAGTGGTTAATTATTGTTGAATCCATGTACATCAGTGGTATCAAGTTGCTGATCCTATTTTCAAAAGCCTACGCAATCAATTCGTTTTAATAGTCACATTATAACATTAGAAATGATATTATGTGTCATAGACGATTAATCAAGAACTAAAACTATGCTTCTCCCATTCTCAAGGTTCAGGCTTCTTCTGAAGGATTTACGAATGAGGTGAGAAACTGACAAGTAAATTGGGGATGAGATTCCCTATTCACAGGAATTATTCGAGCCTAATGGTTTAAATAACCAACCTGCGCGGTGCCGAAGACCTGAGACCGTTATTTATGACCAAGCTTCAATCAGAAGCAAGCGTATTTGTCACCGTCAACTTTTAAAATATTGAGTGTGTTTGAAGTCAGCTCTGTTGCATCCAGTGGGGCTTCAAGGGATACTTGACAAGAGGAATTGAATTCTCATGGTGGTACCGACTGAAGCGAATAACACAACTTAACAGACTCATAAACCAGATAACTGGGGAATGAAAATGTACATTTGTTTAAAGTGGTGGGGTTGGCGGTTTCCATCTTATCTCCATTGATGCCATCAGTAGAGATTTCTGATATGGTTGATGAGTCCAAAGGACAACATCAGGTTGACAATGCTAATGGATTAATCGAAAATTCCCCAAATCCCCTCTCCCCTCTCGATTGTGATGAGAAGCCTACCAATGGGGCTGATGATTCAGTGACAGACGAGAACGACGACGATAGCAGGTACTTTTATTATTATTTATTTTCTGTCGATAGGAAGCTGTTTGTCGGTGGTCTAAGTTGGGAAACAAATGAAAGTAAAGTGTCATGCTTGTTATTCACTATTTCCTCAGATGATTTAAAGGAATATTTCTCTCGTTGGGGAAAAGTTACCCAGTGCATCATAAAACTGGACAGGTTCACAGGAAATTCAAGAGGGTTTGGTTTTGTTACTTTGGAAAATGAAGACTGTGTCTCAAAAGTATTGTCTATTGTTTGTTTGACTTCGTAGGTTCTCAGTGTCCCTGAGCATTGGTTAAAGAATAAGAAAATTGACCCTAAGAAAGCGAAACCTTCTCGAGAACCCTTAAAAAAGATTTTTGTTGGTGGTATTGATCCAGAAGTAACGGAAGACCAAATACGTGAATACTTTAGCAGTTTTGGAAAGGTTAGTCAACACAGTTTAATAGAGACCTCGATAGGTTGAGTCATTAGACTTGCCTTATGACACTCAAAAAGGGAAAAGGAAGCATTATATATTCGTTAGTTTTTCCACTGAAGCAGCTGCCAAAAAAGCTATTTCAAAGGAGCGTCAAGATATTTTCGGTCGACAGGTATGTCGTTTATTAGTTAATTGGTAACATAAAATTCCATCTATCAAAACTAAACGATGAATTCTTTCTTTAGTGTGATGTTAGGGTTGCTGTCACACGAGATCAAGCTAACAGACAAAAAGGTTTGTCCGGAATTCTAGTTATTTCGTTTTAGTAGCTCTGAAGCAATGGTATAACTGGTTGGACCCCAGCTTCTCTTATCCAGGATATGCCTATGGTGACTACGCAAACGCTTACCCTGGCTTTGACCCTTTTACGTACGGCTATTATGGATATGATTACTACGGAAGCGCAGCAGCAGCTGCTGCTGCAACGGGTTATGGTAAGTGTATGTAATCCCAAAGTTTTCTCATTAGTTTACATTTCAATCGTTCCATAGTCTTGATGCTTACATAGAAATAAATTTGGATGGTAGGTTTCGGTGTGTAAACTCCTTATATGTACCAGTGTATGGATAAATAGTTATTTAGTTCTGAGGGTCTCACATGTGATAGGATCATGGTTACGTTTAGACTACTGGAGCAGAGTTTATTCATGAGTACATGTACGTGATAATCTTTAATCCTCGTAAGACTATAATATCAAGTGGAGTAGTTCTGATGTTTCGATACATAGGTAAAGTATGTCAAAGGGAATCTAGGAGCGATCAGACGATGACGTGCGTCAGTTCATGAAGGTACTGGCTTGTGCTGGTCCATGTAGTAAGGTGGGGATTATCTGGTGGTTTGCGTGACTATTGTAACCTGTAGTTAAAAACTTTAGACGACATGGCTCGCTGTCATTTGGGTTGGCGCAAGTATACTTTTGTCTTCCATTTGACCTTAAGTCTCCAAACTTATAAATATTTTTCGTTCCACTAGTCTATACATTCTTAAATCCTGTCTATTCTCAACTTTTCTATTACCAGTAAAATCCACCACCTCCCTTGACAACTTCATCTCTCTATGCTAGTAGTGTGTGGCAATTTGAACCGGTGTACATATGTCTTAGGTCCTACTTTGTGTGTGATCAACTGACTAATTAAGGCGTCAATATCGGTTACACTTCTTGCATTCAATACACATGTCGAGGGACCAGCTCTTATCATCTGGTTTCCGGTAAACACCAAAAGTCATGAGCATTTCGAAAGTTACCTAGATCATGGCTTTGAATTAAATCTCACTTGGAGGGTTGAAATGCATTAATTTGTGCTGTTGGACAGCATAGAAAGATCAGAGAAAGGTAACAAACGTGCTCATCATAACGTTAAGACGGCATAGTGAATTGTTTGTAAATTTTTCATTGTTCTCTAAACTACCTGTGCCGTTATTCCTCATATCCGTTTATGCTAAGTGTTTACAACCCCGAGATCCACATCACCTAAAAGCGTCACTGGCTATTTCAGAGATGACACCCTATTTTGACTTTGTCGAAATATTGCTGCATTTCTTTTGATCTATACTAGGGTGGATGATAATGTCTTGTTGACATTTTGTGGGTGTCGTTTTCGTGGTTTGGCAAACTAGTGGTCTAAATTTATTTCGGTACAGACTTACTTTCAACGTGATTCTTCTAAACCCACTTTAAGGAAATCATGCTCATTCTCTTGGTGGCGTTAAACGTTGTCGCTCTAAGTAGTGAGATGATTTTTTCCAAATTTTACAAATCTGTGTATTTGTTGTGTGGCGCATGTGTGTTTCGTGCCCCCTTGTACCAATAAATAAAATAATATTGATAACATCATTTCGATTATAGTGGTATACATTCTGTATGTTTTATTAAGTGGTATGCTATCACGGTTGTATTTACGAAATAGACCAAAGTATTTTTCCAAGGAATCCTTATGGTTATTGTGACGAGACTGATACTTAATCACATTTCAGTTGGTTGCACCTGTTCACCTTTACTTTAGATAAGTTTGTAAGAATTCTGAAGGGTTTTGAGATGTCAATTTTTGTATCTAGTTCACGTCTTTACACGCTGATGTCTTTTATTGCAAAATGTCTGTCGTTTTGCTACGTAGTATTACATTTTGAACTGGTATTTTTGTGACAGATTTTATACTGTCCTGCTTTCTAGTACATGTATTTTGTATAATTGGTGTGACGTATATTGTATTTCCATATCTTCCGAGATGACCACTTTTAGGGAGCATATCAAAATATTCCTTTGGAAAAATTTCAGCCGATTGGACCTAAAAGTACTTTATAACTATGGCATATCTGCTTATCATTCAAAAATTCATGAGATCTCATTTCTTCTCTGTGGTGTAGAAATGCAAGCTAAAAATGAAGCATCTAGGGTTAGAGAGTGTGCGAGTAAAAGGACGCTTATGCGGATTATGATCATTTTATTACTAAGTGGTGTGGAGTTTCATATCCTGTTACTTGTCATTACTAGTACATTTTATGTAATCTACTGTCCAAATCGTAATTAGTGCTGTGCTTACAGAAATGTTTAAGCCATCAGACCTGTATTTTTGTTTGTACTCGACACAGCATTGTTTCGTGTAATGTTTAGATGTTAAACCAATTTTTATTAACTATAACTAGGAAATTGTTAGCTACCCTTGTGCTAGATGTCACATTGTGTTGTTCGCTTTCTTTTTAGGGGCATATACCAATCTAGCTGCTAATCAGTTTTGTGGAGTAATTAATCCCAACAAAGTAAATCAAAGTATCCGTACTCCTGCTGCAGCACCAGGAGCTGCCACACGTATGATTGGTAGTGGCACGACTGGAACAATTGGTGCGAACTCCCATCAAACCCAATCTCACACACATCTAAATTACACAAACTTACTTACTTCCCAGCTAGATCCACACCATACAACGATGTCCGCTGGCCTAGATTTCTCTGTAGCACATCCTCAACCCGGTCAAGGCATGGTTGCTGGATCAGGTGCTACCCGGTTTTCCCATCCTCAATAAGCCATAACATAACTATTCAAAGTAAAAAACCAGAATAACTCAGTGCAAAGTCTGTTTATTCAAGTTATTTAGAAAGACTACTGTCATTAATTTGTATTCAGTGATTTATTCAAGGCATATATATGCTGGGCTTCTGTGAATAACTGCATATTTTGTGAGTGGTAGCAGTAATAACCTACGAATCGGATCAGTTCATATCGTTACATTGTGCCTAGTCTGCTAAGTAAGTATGACTTATCTCGTTGCTCAATATCATCCTTGATGCGTTTATTTCCCTTCATTTTTACTTGTTTTGTTTGAAAGTTAATGCGACTAATACGTACGTATTCACACATGCGTATGTACTATCTGAAATTCAGTTGTTTATAAATTCACTTTATTGTGTTTGAAATCTCCCTTATCGATCAGTTAGCTTTAGTGTGGTCTCTGTTTTACCCAAGTATTGTTTAGGAACAACTTCAAGAATGTGTATATTTAGTATTTGTGTACATAAAGACACTACAACACATTTGTTGCTGTTATTTTTTAATGCAATGATTACTTTTAGAAATCCTCTTTTCCTTGTATCCCCAACTCTTGTACATTGTTTCCTTTATATTTTTTGAAATTAACGAACATTTTTCATCTAATTTCTAACTTCAAAAAGCTGACGATTGTTAACTTGCATATTTGATTTGTATATTTCTTAAGTTGTTACTATAGGCAACATATAATCTTGGCCGAATTTTTGTGGATAAAGTGAAAGCGTTAACATCTGTTTTTATAAATTTTTATACATATATTTATGCTTAAATTCCCGGTACGATTCGGACTGACTCCATTTTTGAATGACTGATCTAAAATCACAAATATCTTGAATGTATACAGATTGGACATACGGAAGTACTTTTTTTCTATATTTTGTGATTGATGCACTGATCGAATTATGATGCTTATGATGTTATTGACTGTCCACTGGTTATTTTTATTTGTATACACTCACCTATTGTGCTTCCGTAAATTCGTGATACACTATTTCCATAGTCTTTTATATTCTCTCTTATGAGGAATTGCGCTCATAAAAAATGATATTGATAATCTATTCTGCCAGTATAGTTTTCAACTTTTGCCAGCAATTGAATCAGTTTGTGTAAATCACGTTTAATTGTGTGATGTCTGTATGAATTTATATAAATCTGCTATTCCCTATACATTGGTGTAAGACAGAAACCATCATAGGCACCTGGGCTTTTCATTTAGTTTACGTGCTTTGTCTTTTGTGAAATGTCTGATTTATATCATTGATTACACTTAGGAGTGCGCTCACTTTTATCTGCAGCGATTTTTACTGTATCTTCACAAAAATCATCGTATGTATCACGTATGTTTATTAAATGAGATGTTTAAGTTAGTCATACATAAAAGGATCAAGGTTCATATGCATGTAGGAACTGTCTGACAGGTTACATCCACCATATTCTAACTTTTTAGTACCCCGTTTTTTTATAAAGACAATGAAATTATTAAGAAATGCACCAAATAAAGAGTATTATGTGTTATGTTAAGACTTGCTAGTCTTCATTTTCGTATATCGTGTCATGGATTCCTGAATTTTGATGAATTACGAGTTCACAGGTCAAATTAGTGGTCTTGGAGGAATATCGCTTGCTCTTCGAATTTAGAGTTTGACCTGTAATTAATCTTCAGAAATTTTATTCTGATGTTTAAGTTTAGAATAGTACAGATTTTGATTATGACAACAGTAGTAAGCTTCACAAACGAATATGTTACATCTCGTTGACGTTTTGCAGTAATTATCAGTTTCAGTTCTTTGAGTTCGCAATTTATGAATCAAGTCACCGCCTTCTAGTTTCTGTGGTGAAGCGGTTCATGAGTTTAGGAAAATCTGGTCTCAAAACATAGTTTAAAAGCAAAGTATGTGTTTTGGATCGTACTTTATGAGCTGTCGATTTGCCGGGATTTCTTGGCATTTCTGTCATTTACATTGTCCTAGTATCGAATATTTCAGGTTTATGACAAGCCAGTGGTCTTAATTGTCGATTGGTCACCTTCCTAATTAAAACAACAATTTTTTGGTACTTGTGCTACTACAAAATTAGACACTAGATATGAACATGCAGACAAAAACAATGCAATTGTACATAATATACTAATGGGATTACTGCTTTTATAAAGGTCCAAACCTGCGAATTTCGAGTAGTCACTTTTTCTAGTATTTAAACAGTATTATGATTTTGGAAGTGTTTTCATACATACATTAATACAACGTTACACTCATGCATATCTTATTTCGGTGTGTTAGAAAACAGATCATGCTTCGTTATCGAATTAGCAACTTATGATTGAAATCGAGTTAGGCAGACTAAAAATCTCGGTTCAGTGTTTAGTAACTGACAGAGAGTCTGACTTACTGTTGCTTTAAAAACCTTGAGCATTAACCGTACATTTGCTCATATTAGTGTCATTTACAATCATATTGAAAGTATCATTGGAACCTTGACGATAATTTTAAATTCTTACAGTGTAATCCACTCTCAATTTTAAGCTCATTTGATGTAATAGTAGAGAAATTCATCTTACGAGAAGGAAGCGGATCCGTATGCTGTTGGTTTTTATGTTATTCGTCCAATCTGAAAATGTTTATTCATCTGCATGAATAAGTCCACATGCACTGCAAGTGATTATGCATCCTTCGTAAGATCAAAGTTTGTGGTTCGTCCTTAGTCGTACAGACTATTTTGTATCCCCATTAGTAGTAATTAAACAGCAATGGAGTATTAAGCTTAATATACAAGTTTGGCAAAGCTCATCTTCAAACAGTCACTTTTACAATCGAAGGATACTGAACTACAGTTTTCGGAAGCAACGTATCTAATAAAAACTAGTAGGATGGCATTGTCAGGAAAAATTTATCCGCTTAGTTATTTGTATTTTCAGTTATTGCCAGCTCTGATATCTTAGAGGCAAGTGTTAGTATCGGGCAAGCACATTCCTATTTTCAGATCAAACTATTAGATCAGCGGCTATATATTGGAATCCAAAGTCTTTTAAACTTACCATCAATATGATGACCTCTGTGTGGGACTTTCTTTTCAACCCCGTTCTCTTTTTGAAATGTGTACTTACGAGATTTAATACAACTCTACCTAAAGAAGTTTTTTTGGGTTCGTTTACCCAATTATGTGCATACGCATACCTGAAATGCGTGGTGCTACGTTTGTTTGGATGTTCTAAACAAAAGAATGGATGAGTATGCATATTTTATTTAATGTGTTCAATGTGTCAGTCTTCTCAATCCAGTCCAATCTTAATAAATCTAAATTATACTGGTTAGAGAGATAATAGGCGTCACCAAATTTGTGTTTTCTGAATTTCACCTTGCTTTTTTACTTTCCCAACCACTTCACTATGTTCCCATAAGCACTTGAAGCAATCTGTGTTCGCATGTTTTAGTGCATGAACATTCTAAGTGGCGCCACATGTTGGTAATCAGTGTAGTATTGGAAGCTGTATCTAACTGAAGAGAAACGGGTTGACCACTCACTATGATGTCAACAGCTTTTTATATTGAAAACTAATGTTCAAGTTGCAAACGTGCTCTTGATTTGGCTTAGTGAACGTTGTCTCGAATTTTTTTCTGCAGAATCTTGACTAGCGTAGTATTTCTTCGCCGGGGTAATGGCCTTTGTGGTCAATATGTTAAGTATCGGTTTATGTGGTTCATTGATAGACATAATTTCATTAAGTAAACGTGTTCCAATAATCAACATGGTAATAGTGGCTTGCCAACAGGTTGTTGTGTACTTGCTTCTGTCTTTTTGGATGCTATGGCCATTTATTGACCAAAAATCTGGTTTCCTCTTCTATCACATCACCATGTCATGTTTAAGATTCAACAGATATTGACAGTCTGTTATGATCATCGTTAAGATCAAGTCTTCGACTTTGGCCTATGAACCTTGAGAATTTTGCCATCATTATACTTTACTAACAAATTCAGTAATCAAACAAACATCAACATAGAATCTGACATAGATGTAGATTGGTGCAAGTTATCGTACGTGATTAGTACGATATAATGAAAATCACAAGTGAGATTGAATCAGTAAAACGGTAATGATAAATCATTTTGTATAAGGTTTAATAAGACAGATTGTTAGAAGATGTATGAAGAGATATATCTACCGCTGTATACATATTTTGTCTATATATAACTTTAGATTTTTTAATTTGTGTTTCAAGTATCAGAATGTTTATAGTATGAATTCCCAGCTATAAGGGTCGATTTTAGCCAAATAGTATGTAATAATGAATCAAACATTTGGAAAAGTGGTTAGTCTAGGTTGTATAAATAAAGTAGCTGATAAAATGAATGGAATTCCTTAGATAGATATATAATAAAAACCGATGACCTTACTGATAAAAAGCGGTGAAAAAACTGACTATTAGAAAATGTTTCATTGTTGTAGTTGAGATTCAATTCAATGAATAGATTTTTCATTCATTCACCAAGTACTTTGATATGGGCCAATGATCTACTATTCAGTTGATCAAACTGAAAGTGGGGCGGGTTTCGAACCTGTGGCTGGAAGCCAAATTCTTTAATCATTGAGCTACCATAATTCAATGACAATGGTGAATAAGTGAATATACTTTATAACGAGGAATGTAAAATATAGATAGTTAATTAGTTAATCTCTAATGTTATAATAGATTTAACATATGCAGAGATGAATAGTTACTAAGGTGTATAAAGTTAAGATTAGCCTTATCAATATAACTATTGCATAAATTATGAAGAGTACATCAATCGATCCAACGGAAATTTAATGATATGTTAATAATCTCCTTTAGTGAACTATTCCATTTGATTGTAATCCTAATTATTGATGAATCGACTTTCAATCAACCGGAATTGTGTAACAAGGAACTTTTTGAGATGGTGGAGATTTGTAGCTCAGGTGGATGATTTTGGTGGAGTTTTGTTCTCAGCTGGATGGTTTGGTCGTGGACGTCGAGGTGCACAGAACAAGCTTTGAGACACATATGGAGAAATTCAAACACTTCACTTCTATCTGAAGTTTGTGCTGATGATGTCGTTCAGAAGAACGATGAAAGCTCCACGATCAAACCATCCAGCTCAGAGAACAAAACTCTACCAAAAAAAAGGAACTTTTTATTTTTAAGACAAGATATGTTTGCTTTTCAATGAAATATCTATAAATAGTTAAGTTAACATGTACGTATAAAAGATGTTAATAGTATTAAACTGATATGTATATGGAATGGATATAGAGGGAGTTAGTAGGGATTATTATTATTATTATCATCACGAATTGATCTTAGGCAACTATGTAAAATCCAAATAGTATAAAATAGATGTTTCATTTAAATGTGGAATCTCCTAACAAACCCTTTCTTAACTTTTTATTTATATGACCTATTTTATCAGGTCCTATGTAAGATGTTAAGGAAAGTTTACTATATATTTTGATTACTACTTGTAATTTAGATGTTTGATCTATTATATTTATACGAATATGCCCGGTTTAATTGAACGCATGTTTTTGTATTGTGATATTTATTGAAACAATCAATAAATTTGTTCACATATTTGTCCTTCTTACTCAATTCTTTGTATGCTTACTCATCATCTTGTACTTGTGGTCTAGTGGTTAAGCGCTTGCGCGCGAAACTGATAGGTCCTGGTTTCAAATCCCGTGAGACAGGGTCGTGGATACGCATTGCTGAAATGTTCCACAATAGGAAAAAATGGCTTCCAGGTTTTCCATAATGGTCTAGCTTCAAATGACTCATGATCTTAACCATTGAAATTACTATAATATCCACGAAACTCCTTCTGAAGTTAAAATTTATTGAATAAGAAAAAGAGAATTCAGTGAAGAAAATTTTCTGTACATTCGTATATACATGAAAAATGTATGTCTGTGGGAGGATAGAGAAAATTGCATCACCAAAATGAATCCGAGACTAAATAACAAATGAGGTTACGTGTACACTAATCAAGGGATTAGATAATAATCCAATTGACCGATATGAAGAAAAGCGACAAACACAATAGTCATAGTATAATAGACTGAATAATAATCAAGAAAACTTGTATAAGGTAATAATAATAATACTAACTGATTAAAGTGCAAAATAGCAATTTTAAAAATTCTATAATAATCAAATTAAAATGCAGAAAAAGAAACCCAGGAACATACCCATCAAAGGAATTAGGGCCAAGGAAGGATGAGAAGTTGAACAAATCGTCTCCGCACGCAAAGTTCAGGCTTCAGTTCGTGAATTGCCAATGCCTCAGCAGTGCATAGAATATTGATTCGACCCAGTTCCTTTGACTCGGTAGATTACTTTAAAAGAAGAGTCCTTTGGAGTGATGTGTCCACAGTTAATTAAATACTCCTGTATCGAACTAGTAATTATTTTACATTTTCCTTTTAAGAGCCAAGCCGGATAGTGTTCCGAGATGCGTTTGGACAGTGATCGCTTTCTGCGGCCTTTGTCACTTGCCCCATATGAGCAAGTAGATTTATAGATACACATTGATGTGGCCCAAAGAGAAAGTCTATCTTTAACACATCCAGGAATTGTAGGCCGACTTGAGAAAACAATTCGGAGCTTGGCTACGTAGAATGTTTTATTCAATGATTTGGAAATCCGTTTATTTAAGATTTCAGCAGCCGTGTCTCCTTTAAATTCCATGTTCATAAAGAAAGTTTTCTTCTGCGCTGTCGATGCTTTTTCCTCATGAAGTTTAGGTATTAATTTACAATCGACGAATCTAGGTGGATAACCATTTCTGATGAGAATGAAATAGTTCCTCATCTATTATGTCATTGGGACAGATTCGTTTCATCCTAGAGGATAAAGAGTGAATTAAGTTCCTCTTTCTACTCAATGGGACTAAACTATGGAAATCCGTGTATTGTCCATTCCAGGTAGGTTTTCTACATATAAATCTCTGTAAATGATTTCGTCGAAAAGAAAATTTTCTCCGCTGAATTCTCTTATTCAATAACATTATGGGTTATTTTAATTGAAATTTATTAATAATACAAAATTTCTCAACACAACTGGAATTCTGGATTTTGAATATTCTCAAGTGCATTCATCGTGTGATACTAAGAGAATTCATCTGCTAGGTGATACACTCAGGCGTCCTCAAATTTTAAGGTTGAAATTGACGAAATAACCTTTACAGTACTCATTTAAAGCCCCAGCAAAATCTAAACTTAGGATTTCAAGTCTCATCATAAGTGTCTAACCTTAATATAACTGTGATTCAACTTCTTGTAATAACGATAATCATGTGTTACGTAATGATTCATTTTAGGAGGTTATAATGAGAATCTATGATTATTAAGGTTCATCTATATAAGGCATGAGACAAGTATCGTAAATTTCAATGGATAATGATAATAGTATCATTAATTGACTAGAGTTAGACATGTGAACTATTGGATGCCAACCTGGCAATTTAAATGTTCAGCACAAAATTCAATTTCAAAAGCACCATGCAGTAAACACAGTAAGTATCCTAAAAATGTCACCTAGACAGATTGAACAGTGAAATATTGATTTCTTAAAAATTGGTTTCTTCATAATAAGAAAAATGTATTTAAGAGCTGTTCCAAATAATCATCCTAGGAGATATTTGATTACAGTCATTGGCCCCCAAATGCCTTGGTCCGGCCGAGAGTGGGGAAAATCAACTCTCCCTCTCGAAATGCTCTCACATGGCCACGCGTATATAGCCTCTGCCAGGGAAGTCCTAATCACTGCCTTCTCGTGGTGGGGGTGCTGAAAAAATTGAGAGGATCGAAATGCGAATGTAAGGCGCTTTGATCGGGTTGGTGGTCACGGAAAGTCCACCTAGGGTAGCTGGAAAACCCTGATTCCAAACCAATGGGCTCCAGTATTCTGAAGGGACAAATGGCGTATATACCAATCATTGGTCACCGGTTACGATGGGACTGGAGCTCCTTACATTGCTTCATTGCCTTGTGGATCAGACTTTTAGGTCAAAGGCTCCGTGTGTGGCCCCCCTAAAGAAGACCACCAGCTTCGATTTGGGCACCCAGGCAGTATCACAGCCCTCACATATATCAAATGAGATTTGTGTGACTCATATGTATCTTGTACTCTCTTGTACTAATATTTGTATGTTCAAATATATAAAACAATCATTGACTAAGAATTTAAAATCAGTTGACTTTGAAAGAATTATAGATAAATATCATTCATTTGTTTAATGTTTTGTCATTTTTATCTCAGATTAATCTAATAATATGAGATGATCATGTATTTAAAGCATTTTATTAACTTTTCTAGAGAAATATAGAATTCATGATGAGGCTATATTTTATGGACTTACTTTTGAGCGACGCTAAAGTGACCTTGAAGGTGTTCACCTAATAACTAGAACCAAATAAGGATTATAAACCAGTGTGTATGAGGAATTCGAATTATTATTTACAGTTAGGGATTAGATTTAGGGTTTTGGTCATGAACTGACATCAGCTATAATGCCAAAACTCTACTTGTCCAAATGGATGTGAGTGAATTTCGCGGCAAAATCCGAGACCTGTTATCTTATATACGTGATTGGTTAGTTCATTAATTATAGTCTCGCCGAATTCGTTAGTGTAAGAATGTTACGCATTCATTACAACTATTAGCCAGCTTAGGTTAAATGATTCTCAACATATTGACAATCTTCCAAATATTTCTTTGAACCCATCATTGAATTCTAATTTGACTGGGTTGTTATCTTTCGATTATAAAGGTGTTACGGACAAAAGCATAGTCAAACCCTGAATAACAGTGAAATCTTTATGTTTATATATGGCAGCTGTAAATAACTAGTATATAGAAAACACATTCAGGAAATGATCAAAATTTCTAGGATAAACACACGTATTGAACCTTGGAAACATTGCAAATAACCGCCTAAATACCTCTTGAAAAGTTTTGAAGTCCAAATGACTTGAATACCGAGCAATATCATTTGTAAAACTACTATATCAGTCAATACAACACATTTCCTACTGCTTATTAAGCCAGCTATGGAGAGTGAAGAAGACTGAGAGCGCATATAGAAAGCTTTATTTGTCTAGGTCCGAATGAATGTGTACATAAGTCATAAGCATACACAATAATGGAGTAATATACAATGATTATGGTTCTAGGCTAGTAAATAAATTACTTATAAACACTAAACTAGCCGGAACTTCCACTTCATACTTACAGAATATTCTTGCGTTAACATGTGGTCTGTTTATATATATAAATCATAAACAACCAGGAATCATTAGACAATTGCTTTATCTTGGTGTGGGTTTCGTCAGAAGTGTTTCCACAACAAAATTGGTGATCAAACCCAGAACATACAGCTTTCGTACTGAATGTATAACTTTTAAACTGGTGAATTCGTATCCAGTAGTTTAGTTGTTTTTGGTGAATGATTATCTTTTCAATAGTTGAGATCATGAGTCAGTTGAAGCTAGATCACCATAGAGAACCTGGAACCACTGGATGGCCGTTTCATCCTATTGCGGGACTCCTCAGCAGTGCGCATCCACCATCCCGATTCGCAAGATTCAAACCCAGGACCTATCAGTCTCGCGCACGAGCGCTTAACCACCAGACCACTGAGCTGGCCGGCATCCAACGGTATTAATGTCTAACTTCAACTAATTCACGAAATTGAGCGACACCCCCACCATTGTCATCATTGAGTTACTATCTCACAACTGACCCGGTTGAACTCCACTGGTCACTGCTTCTTATTAGAACTCCAGGATATACATTTTGAAGCCAGTCACTAGTGAGCATATGTTATCTTACTAGAATCAGTTTGTATTAATAATCCTCCCTAAAGCAAAATCATTTTTGTAATCAGTTTATTTGACAATTTTTTTGGTCTACTCTAAATGATCTTACACATAGTCACATCCAAATTCACAACACTGATCAATTTTCAAAGTGTTACGTACAAATAAGCAAATGAAATACTTTTTGGTTAATTTTCAATGTCCAATATCATGTCAGTCACATGTGTAAGTAGATTGAGAGAAAAAAGTATTGTTTATTCAGTTTATCAGAGAAAATTGTTGTTGCTAGACAACAACTATTTATTTATTTAAGCACATAAATATTGGTACAAAGGGGCACCGAATATCTATGCACCATACAAATCACTTGATTCATATGTGTACTATGATACAACCCGGTTGACCAAATTGAAGCAGACCGAAAAAGACAAAAGTTACAGTAGTAATTTAAGTTCTAGGGCAAATTAAAGATATTGAATATTATAAGCTGATGGATGAATGAAAACGTTATTAGTAAACAATTAAGAAGTAGAAATTTATAGACAACTTCAGAAATTGATCACTATAAAAGCTGGAACTTGCTGGCGGTTAGTGTGATATACGACTTTGGTACTCGAATGTGGGTGTTCCACGTCGCAATTCGAAAAGGCAGAAGAAAACAGGGAAAGGGTTTGTTAAAGCAAGTGTGAAAAAATGCACAGAGAAACAAGTGTGTTTATAGTTTTTGATGTAGACTGTGACATCAACATAATCCAGCCAATATACAAGCAGAAATTGTGTGTAACTGTTCAATTACAACATGCCGCTTCAATATTTTAGAAAATTCTGTCGGAATGTTATTAACTGGAATCAATTTGAATCTTTTAGAATCTGAAGAGGCCTCGTCACGCCTCCTGGAAACCTTCCTAACATCTCCCAAAAATGGAGTTCCCGGAATATAATTTCCTTTCCAAGTCCAGTTTTAACCTCGACACTGTGTTCCGTTTGAAATTCACATCCCGTGATGGCTTAGTTCTTTTGCTTCCTTGATCATTAGAGCTCCTTTGAAAAGTCCACGATTATGTCAAGTGGAAATCCGTCTTGTATGATTACTATCCTCATCCCTGCGCATCTGATTTGCATGTATTATATGTGTGGCATCAATTTCCCAAACTAAGTATATTACTTTGCCGATTTTTCGTTTAACTATATAAGTTTTCCATTTGTTGTTGCCTTGATGATT